GTTAATTTTTTTAAAGGGTTTTCCTGTAATGTCAAAACACGCAAGAACTTGTGACGGCTTTCCATTGAAAAGGTTTTATTCTTATCCAAAAGATCACAACGGACATGATAGTTGTTAAATGATGAAAAAGTTTTGACAAAATTGATTTTTTGCAAACGGCGTTTAAGTCCAAGAAGATCAGCCAGATCATTATCAAGAAGAATCTTTTTGTTTTTAAGATTTTCAATTTCCAAACTTGCCCTTCTGACATTCAGTCGTTCTTTGACTCCTTCGTATTTCGATATATCTTCAAGAGCTTCGCCAAGGCTTTTCAGCGAATAATTTCCTTCAGGAATTGTCTTTACAGATGAATTGTCCTGAGCATCAAATATAGAGATTTCTCCAGAGCGACTCAAGTTGTGCCATGAGTTGTAAAGAGAACAGCTCACCAGCCTGATACTTCGCCCACCAAGATTCGAAAGAGGTTCTTTGAAGAGAACTGTGAGATCATTTGAAACTTCAGTAACTGTCAAAAAAAAACATTTTGATTTAAAAAACAAATTAAAATGTTAACTGCGTGGTTAACATCAGATGAAGCAAATATAATTGCTGAGAAAAAAAGAACAAAAGCCTGGAATGATTTCAAAGCAGAATATCCGACCGCAGATTTGAGCAAGTTCGAAGTGCAGGTAACATTCTTTAGCAAAAAGGAGGGAAAAGCAGAAGTTTACTTAAATCAAGCTAATGCTGTTCAAACTAGCGTCTCAGGATCAATCAGAAAAGACCGGGATGATGAAATGAAGCGCGCGCTTGGAATAGCAGGATTTCCCATCGAGCTCACTTTGAATCTTTCTGCAATTAAGGAGGTTCCAGCAGTTCCATTTCACGAGACTTCGAAAAGTCGCTTGAATGAAGAGGTAAAGATATTTGTCACCCAAAATCAATATTTCGAGGCAAGATTCAGAGAAATATTCACAAGAATGAAAATTCTGCACAGCTCAGGCGCAGAATCAAAGAGATGGCTTGCTGAGCCGAATATGAGCTACTGGCCTCAACAACTCAACTTTGCTGTGTGGTGCGCTACTTCAGGCTGTGGAATCTCTCGTGAACTGCTTGACATGGTACCAGAACAGATCAAGTCGTTCTGCAGTTTCACATTTATTTCACAAACAGAAGAATTCTCTTTGAGCTGGGTGGAATACAGAGTGAATCGGCCCTCCTGGGCGACTCAACTTTCAGTCAGACGATTAACAACTACGATCAGCCGTCGTTCAAAAGATTGTGTTCAGAATTTGGAATTTCGTCCAGCACAGACTTCCGCTTCAAA